CGGTCTCCGGGTCCCCCGAGGGCCTCCGGAACCCCGGGAGCCTGGCGCGCCTGCGCGCGCGGTGCTCGGGGGGACCCGGGGAAGGGAGCTGGAAGTCCGGGACCGGGACGGCAGCTGACCGCACCCCCACCCCCGGGCTTGCGGCGCGAACGCGTGGGCCCCAGGGAATGGGTCGGTAAAGTCGGCCCTGCGCCAGTGCCCGAGCCCGGGCCATGGGCGCCTGGACACCGGGCGCAGCTCCCACCTGGGCCCCGCCGCGGGCGTTCTCTTCTGCCTCGTGGACAGCAGTTGGGTGGCACCCGAGTTCCATCCAAGACAATCTGCTTTCTGTCACACCTCCCCGGGGTGACGACACAGGCCCTGTCCACCTTTCCGTCCATGGCATCATTTACCCGCCAGGGCACCCCCTCTCCCCTCGCTTCTTGTCCCGCTGTTGCCTTGCATCGTTTCCACCTGGGTGGGCGCACCGTCATTGCTGCGCGGCGAGTGCGGCACTGGGGTCCAGCCGCTGCCAGCCCCCATGTGACTTGGGCCGTCCCCCTCTGCTGAGGGCTGCAAAATCCCCGCGCCCTCTCTGAAAGGAAACGATGCATTCATTCAGCACCTGGAAAGAACTTGCACGTTTTCACTGCCAAGTCAGTGGTTTCACTACTTAAGGAGTGCTTCGCTTTCATTTGGTTATTTGCGCTTTCTTTATTCTTTTGGAGAGGTGGCTGCCTTTTAGCATTAAAATGAGGCGTTCTCTGTATGTAAAACCTTAAGCCTGGGCAGGAGTTAGCATCTTTATCTCATTTTCCTGGCTGTTCCGGGAGGAGTCTGGTACCACCTCCGGCCGGTGGGGGTGGGGGTGGTGCTCACTCCTCGTGCTCCCTGCCGGTCTTCGAGCTTAATTCTGTCTGGAACCCGGCTTGGGTTTGAGAAAGACAACAAAAGAGACAAAGTTGAGGGGTGGAGTTTTCTGTGTGAGTGGTTTCCAAACTGGTTTAATTTACCTACGTAACTTCTGAGCTTCAGCTTCAGTCGCAATTTCGAACATTCAGATCGAACATTCAGAATGTCTTCCCTTTTCTTTGGATATCTCCATGATTGTGGCCGTCTGCTGGCTGTGGTGCTTTAAGGGATGCTCTGTGGTCCTGGCCCACACCTGCAGCCTGAGTCTGTGCCCGTCTTCAGCTGCCCCGGGCTTGCTGTGCCTTCTCTCTGCACCTGGGCTCTGCCTCCCCCTGGCCTCCCGTAGCCACGACTGACCTTCGGCGCTGTTCCTGGTCTCCCAGCCTCAGTGGAACCAGTCCACTTCGTGCTCCCATAGACTTACATCACACCTCACATTTCCAGCCCTCTTACCCCTTTCCCCAGGAATTCAGTCTGTTTAGCTCAGAACAGACTTTACTGTTGAAAGTTTGACAGTTTAGTTAACTCCTATTATGTAAAAAACTGAAAGATCAAGTTTTGGGCTGGTGACTTGGTTGGGGTAATCCCTTATTGTCAGTCTACCTGTGTTGGGCTTAGGTGATGGGGTTGGGAGTATGGGGCTCTTGGGCCATCTGAGAAAGAATTCAGCAGGCTCTCCCCTTCAGCATGCTCGGTTTGCTGAGGAAAGGGAAGAAGGGCAGGGGAAGACGGGAAGACGCCTGGGGGGACACAGGGGCCATGAGCTGGTTTTGCAAAGCAAGGGATGTTCTCATATGGTGCTCTTTGATGAAGTTACTGAGGAATTATAAAAATTATTTATGCATACAAGAACTGGGGTGCAGGCCAGAGGCGCGGGGTGGGGGCGGGGGGGAGATATGAATCCACTAGAGACACAATAGGGAGCAGAACCTGCAGATCTACTGAAACACACTGCTGAGGGGAGCAGCGAGTGGGCCAGGAGAGGCCTCCCGCGCCCTGTGGGTCACCTCCCTGGCCAGGAATCAAGCTCATGTTGCAGTGGTGGGGCAGCATCATACTCTAATGCTGTACTCTAATCTGTTGCACCACCAGGGAGGGCCCAAGTTACTGAGGAATTTATCACCTTGGATCAGGTTGGGTTGGTCTCCTCTTAGTCCCCATCTCTGCCTGATAATCTTTTCTGACCCACCTGAGATTCCTGAAACCTCTGTGGTGCCTGTAGTTTAAGATTCATTGATTGGCCGCCTCTGGTGTTTGTCCTTGGGAGAGCTCCCATCCTAAATTTTCTGCTCTCAGCCTCCATCACCTGGTGAGAGTAACGTATGTTTGTGGACTTCCTGCTTCCTACATTTAAAACCAGATGCAGAAATACTGAAGGTTTATCTATGCAGGTCCTGCAAGAACTGGGAGGTATAACAAAAGATAATGTCTATAAACTGAACACTTTTAAGCCTTTTGCTTAATATATGTTTTTTTTATAATTGAGTAAATTTAAAAAATCGGTTCCTTGTTTTCAACTTTTGTCTTGATAATCATGCTTACCCCTGGAGAGAGTTTTCTCCCCCAAATTTTCATTTCTTTTTCTTTTCTTCTTATATATTTTTTACATCATTGTTCATTTTGTGCATTTTTTTCATCTCAGTTGTAATCCCCATGGGCTTCCCACTACCAGTTCACCCATACCTATATCAAATTTTCATTTATTACTTAGGTCTACATATATTAGTAAACCTCTATTCAGTACTGGGTGATCACACTCTTTGATCTTCCCAGTAAAAGAGACTTGAACTGAGAAGCAACATTGTTATGAGAACCAAAATTAACAGCTGTGTAAGGGAGAAAAACAACTTATAGTCCTTTTAGCAAGGTCCCTGCTCTTGTTACAGGGCTCTCCAAATCTGTTACAGGGCTCCCCAAGTCTGTTACAGGACAGGGGGAGAGGGAAGCCCCTGAAGCCCCAAACCTGTCTGCTCTAAGTGGGTTCTGCCATCTGCCGAGTCACGATAAAACATATACAACTTTAATGTAAAGGGACTTTAATACAGTGAATATACAATACGGAACACAAAGAATATAGCTTCTAAATCAAACACCTGAAGTGACCCATCCCCTCGTGGGCAAAAGTCCACCCAAAAGGGGTTAGTCCAGAGCAAGGCCTGAAAGCCCCCACAAGACTAAAGCACCTTCTGGCCGGGAACCATGGAAAAGGGTCACAAATGGCCAGACAAATCTGGGAGGAAAAGTGCAAAATCAATATAAACACTGCCATGGTCACCTCCCTACAGGTCTCTCACCCACATCTGCCTTAACCAGTCCAGGGTCAGGAAACAAGCCCGGTTTCTTCATCACAGGCTTGCTGCTCCAGGTGGCTTCCTTAGGTCTTCTGGCTCTCCTTCCTGCTTCCTTCTTTCCTTCTCCTTTTTCTCTGCTCAGCTCCACCCTCCTGGGTGGGGCAGAGAACCTGAAACTTCCCCTTTTCCTAGGGACCACCCTGTTACACTCTCATTTACCCGTCTGGGGAAGAAGAGCAGAGATCCACACCCAGCATCAAATCCACTAGCCCACCTGTAGCTGTCGTGGCTGCAGGTGAAGACAGAACCTCTCTTAGGGCTCCGAGAAGAATGGGGTGCACTTGGAGCCTCCCGTCTGTAAATGTGCTCCCGCTGTAATTTGGAAAGCCCCTGTGGGTGAAACAGCAGGATGGACGGGGAGCGCATCCGTCCTCCTGCAGAATGGGGTATCTCATGACAAGTACGTGAAGATGTTCAGCTACCGTGAGTCACAGAGGCGCTTCCGCTGGTGCAAAAGCCTTGTCACCAAGAAACGGGTTAATGTGCCACAGGGGACAACCTATCTGGACCACAGACACGTGGTAGGTGTGCCAGAGGTGGCCTGAAGTGGAGTTAATCTTTTTTATTTTCTGCTTCTGTCCCTCCATGCAGTCCATCGATGACTTGAACAAGTGGACTCTATTCCTTGTTTCTCCTCTCATACTTGAAGCAGAGCACATTGCGTTTGTGACGGAGAGCACCTGGGCGCCCGACGAGCATTTGCACGGACCACCTTCCTCTTCAGAGACAGTGAGTAAATGATGTGCCTGTGACTCTCTTGGCCCCAGTTTGTTTTTTTAAAGATTTATTTATTTATGCATACAGAACTGGGGTATAGGTCAGAGGTGTGGTTGGGGGCTGGTGAGAGGATTCACCAGAGACACAGTGGGGAGCAGAACAGGCAGATTGACTGAAATCCACTGCTGAGGGGAGCAGCGGGTGACAGGAGAGGTCTGCTGTGCCATGTGGGTCACTCCCTGGCTGGGAATCGAACTTGTGCTGCTGTGGCTGCGGCAGCTTCATAGCGCTGAGCTTTAACCTGCTGCGCCACCAAGGCGGTCTGGCTAGAATTATTTTTCTGGACACAAAACCAGTGAATAAATAAAATAAAGAGCAGAGATGAACATAGGCCCATCCTGAGTCTGCCCGTCTGGAGTCAACCAGAACCAGGAGGCTGTTGAGGGTGAGGTAGCTGGCACCCCCAAATGTGTGGGGGCTGGGTGAAGGAGTCTACAGCTCAGCAGAAATGAAACCCATCAGCAGGCCACACCTAGGATTGACTGTTGACCAATCACAGCTTGATAAACTTTCTACCAATCAGAAGTGCCTTTATAGAAAGCCTCATTTGCATAAAGCAGACCTAGCCACGCCCCTCAACCTATATAAGCTGCGCCCAGGTGCTTTAAGCTCAAAGGCTTTCAGTCTGAGTCACCCAGGCTGCTGTCCAGAAAGCTGACCACCTCCACACCTTCCACCTGCCACCACTGTCCAGCTCACCCCTCCAGCCATCGGGGGAGAAGGGAGAGCTAGGGGACCGCCAGCTTCCTATTAAAGATTGTGATCCAGAAGCATCAGGCATCACACAGCTACTCCAGATTCTTCCGCAGCTGCCGCTGAGCGGTGAGCCGAGCGCGAGCCTGGAGTTCTGCTGAAGACCAGCTGAACCTCAGAGCCCGAGACCAGCTCCCGGGGCACAGTCTCCTTGATCAAGTTACCTCCCTGCACTAACTTTCTAAGGTCTCTAAGACGTAATATGGTGGTGACGTCTCAATTTTCTGCAGTAGAAAAATGCCCCCTCACCAGAAGACTGATACTATCCGGTGAGCTCATTTTACTCAGGACCAGGGAGTCTGGGCGTTTTGCCATAGAGCTGGAGATCTCCAAAGCAGCTTTTGTTTTTGGCCATCCTGGCTCTTACACCAAGCTCTGTTTCAGAAGTTGGTCTTCAGAAGTGCTGACCTCTTGACTCACCATCTTCTTACTTAGTCTGCCGTTCATAGTAACATTGATTGCTTGATGGGGTTTTGCTTTTTGGGGGGATCTGCTCGTCACTTAAATAAGTCAGCCCCCTACCTGGGGATCAAACTCTGCTGCAGTGGCTGCGGACAGCTCCACAGCACCACCAGGAAGGCCCTCACCCAACTCTTTCAAAGGCTCAGGTAGCGTCTCCCTGAGCACTTCCTGCCCTCCCTGCCCACCTCACCCATCTCAGTAGGATCCCCCTGAATTCCTAAGATCTCATTCTTTGTTGTTGGGGATCTACAGGGTGAACACAAACGAGAGCCATCCGAGATCTCCCATTTTTTTTGCTGCAGAATATTGTTCCTGTTCCCCTTCACGGCTTGCAGTTCCACGTCCATGCGCCCCGGGTTTGCTGAGTGCCCGTTCTAGGCCCTATCGTGTGTTGGGGTTAGAGTTGTATCATTTGGAGCTGTAAGATGGGTTCAGAGACGGCTTCTGGCTAGGGACGGGGGGAGTTACTGAGATGGGCGAGGAGGGCAGACCTTGCTGAGGGGGTGGTGTCTGAGCTTTTAAAAGAGTTGTGTGAGGGCCACCCTGGTGGTGCGGGGGTTAAAGACAGCACTGTGAAGCTGGCCTGGCCACTGTAGCACCAGTTTGATCTGGCCAGGGAATGACCTGCAGGGCGCAGAAGACCTCTCTTGTCTCCTCTCTGCTCCCCTTAACAATGTGTTTGAGTAGATCTGCCTGTGCTGCTCCCCACTCTGTCTCTGGCGAATCCTCTCCGCTCCACACCTCTGGCCTGTACCCCAGTTCTGTGTGCATAAATAAATACATCTGACAAAACCAAAACATTGTGTGAAGGGACTGGATGTGCACATACACTCAGAGGATGTGCACTGGGCAGCTCCAGGGTCAGTGTGGTCAGGATTTACTTTCATGGAAGTGGCTTAGGATAAGGCGGGGGAGGAGGCTGGCGGGTGGTGTGAGAAATCACCTTGGGCCACACGGACTGCCAAGGACAACTTCAGGTGCTCAGATTGTGGCGTCGGTTAAATCAGTTCACAACAGGCAGCAGGAGCACAAGTGGGGAGCGCTGGGTGGAGAGGTGGGCGTCCCCTTGGAGGAGGGGACCGCCCCACCCCGCGCCCCGGGTCAGCAGTGTTCACGAGCCCAGTTTCTGTGCCGCGTGCTGGGTCTGGCCTTCCCTGCCAAGGGAGTTCCAGGGACCAGAGCTGAGGTTCAGCTGGGGCTCAGTAATGGGGGGCCCATGCCGGCAGGCGCTTGCTCCTTTGGGGCGCAGTCGCACGGAGCAGCTGTGGCTGACCAGTGACTGGCACGCAGCAGCCGGGGTTTCTAGGCAGAATCTACGCGGCACCAGTGGGGGTGAGTGTTGTTCCGGCGCCCGCACGATTTGTGTCTTGCTTGTATTTAGGCCCCCATGCCTGAGCTGAGGGTAGCACTCTACAGGCCTGTGACACTATTTCGTCTGTCTGCAGTATATCTTGCAAGCCACTTCATGTTGTAAGTGTTTCATCCGCACTGTGTTCTTCCTGTTTCCTCTGTGGCAGAAGTGAATATTCTTGACTAGAGCAACCTACACGCATAATGCTCCAGTCACAAAGGCCGGTCGGTGCTAGTGAGGGGTTTGGACAGTAGGCTAATACTTTTTAAAGTAAAATGTGCTGTAGGAAGACCAGGTAGACAGACTGGGGAGTGGGTCAGAGGCAAGCAGACCCGGGGGGACGAGAAGCTAGCCGTGGCCTGTACCGGTGGGAGGCACCGTGAGCCGGACAGATGCCAGGCCCCCAGGGGATGCCGCCGGTTTGGTGGCTTACTGGTGGCGGCCGAGAACGCACCAGGGAGCCTGGGGGAGACGCTGCTATTTTTTTAAAGATTTATTTATTTCTGCATTCAGAACTGGGGTGCAGGCCAGAGGTGCAGGGGCAGTGAGAAGATTCACCAGAGACAGAGTGGGGAGCAGAACAGGCAGACTGACCAAGCACACTGCTGAGGGGAGCAGCTGGGAGACAGGAGAGGTGTGCCGCGCCCTGTGGGTCACCTCTGGGGTGGGGATCGAACTCATACTGAAGAGGCTTCGGCCAGCTTACAGAGCTGTGCTTTAACCTGCTGCGCCACCAGGGAAGGTCCGAGCTTCTGTTATTTCTGATTAACTCTCAGGTGTTGAGAAAATTAAAATGCCGAGACTGCCTCTCCCTCAAGTGCCTGCCTGTCTGGACAGCTTCCCTCGCCCCTTCTTCCTGGGGCGGCTCATTGTTCCAGCTTCAGAGTGGCGATGCCCTTCCCTCTGCCACCTGCTTTCCAACTTGCCTCTCTGAAAAGTGCCTCGGGGCCACGTCCTTTTTTTTTTTCCAAAAATTTATTTGTGCATATAGAACTGGGGTACAGGTCAGAGGTGCAGGGGCTTCACCAGAGACGAGTGAGGAGCAGAACAGGCAGGTTGACAAGGTACACTGTGGAGGGGAGCAGCGGGGGAACAGCGGGGTCTGCTGCACCGTGGGGGTCACTCCCTGGCCGGGGATCGAACTCGTGCTGCCGTGGCTGTAGACAGCTTTGTAGTGCTAAGCCACAGTTACCTGTTGCGCCACTAGGGAGATCCCTGAATTCTGCACATTTCTATGTGTCTGGCCCTCCTTCACCCAATGTGTTATCAGAAATTAAAACAGACCCTGTCGTGTAATTATCTGGGTTTGGAAGAGGAAGGATGCGAACCCCAAATGCCAGCAGCTTTGTTGTCTGACTGGAGACTTGCCCCAGCTAGCACCCGCTGGGGCGCTGAGGCCCATGTGGTGTGTGTTCTCTCTCGTAGTATTTACTTCTTTGTGAGAAGTTGATTCAGCAGCAACTGCTGTCAGCATGATGGTGGAGTTGAATTCACTCCCCAGGGCCGGCTGGTAGCTGGAGACCTGGACTTGATGCCGAGCCTGGGGGCAGCGCCTCCTTTCCTGGGGGGGGCTGTCTCTTCTCCTGAGGCCTCCGACTGCTTGGGTCAGGTCAGTCTGCTTTTCTCGAGTCTCTGGATGTACAGTTAGCCTCATCCACAAATACATCAGTTACCTCTAGACTCACGGTTGGCCGAGTCTGGGGGAACCGGCTTACGTAGTGGACACGTCCGGCAACCTCCTGACTGGTCGCTGATGTTGGCCGCAGGATAGCAGGGCCTCGGGACGGCAGGTGGCAGAGGCGCTGATCTAACCCTGTGCCTTGTGCCCGGCGTCCTCCGCCTGGTCCCGTGTGTTCACTTGAGGGCAGAGTCCATGGGGGTCTGCGTCACCGATGCAGCGTCAAGTGGACAGCTTGCCCGGGGAGGGAATTCCACAGGGCATTTGGAAGTGGAGACCCCTGCGCCCATGGGCTCTTAGCTTTGATCTCTGTGAGTAAGCCTTGTGCTGGACGTCCCCTTTCTCCCTGCCCTTTGTTTCCATCATGAAGTGCAAACGTGAAGGGCCCTGTTTGCTTTTAGCCACCGGATGGCAAACACCCTGGACCTGTGTCAGGGACTCCGCTTTGCTTTGATCTGTGCTCCCAGCGAGGAGGAGTTTCTTGCTTGGTGGAGTTTGCATGGTTGGTGGCTCCCAAGCCTGTTCCTAGAAAAAGGAAACGCACTTAGGTGAGGAAGCAGCTGGCCAGGGGAGAAACTCGATCTGGGCTGTGTCCATTGTTCTCTGGCCGCTTCCTGCCCTTCCCTGCTCCTTATCTCCCTCCCGCTTCTCTCCTGGAAGGTGTGGAGGATGGAGTCCTCCGCTCCCCGGAGCCAGCCCAGCCAGCAC